AAACTGTAACATTAGTATATGCTCATTAGAGAAAGAAAGAAAATGCCAATAAGCAAAACTTATTCAAAATACATCTCCCCAAGGGAGCCTGGGTGACTCAGTCGGTTAAGCACCTGACTTCGGTTCAGGTCACGATCTCGTGGTTTGTGAGTTCGAGCCCCGCGTCGGGATCTGCTCTGACAGCTTAGAGTCTGGAGCCTGCTTTGGATCTTTGGACCCTGTGTCTCCCTCCCTCCCTGGCACTCCCCTGCTCACGCTCTCTTTCTCAAAAACAAATAAACATAAAAAAAAAACTTAAAAAAATATACCCCCCAGGTAAAACTACAACTATTTGTGTTTTTATGTATTTTATAATCTGTTTGGAAAAAAATTTTTTAAACTGTACCTTGGATAGAACAGTCTTTACTTGGAATTATCCTAAAATCCTAAAAATAAGGCTTGGGGACTGGAGAAGTCTGCCCATGGCCACCGTGGCACATAGGAAGAATTTCCTTGCCCGGGGTGGCCCTTCACATTCGGGGTGGATGTCAGCCCCTCACCTCTGTCATTAGTGGGGGAGTTTTCAAACTCTTGGGACGCTGACAGGAGTGTGGATAAGCAAAGGATGGGGAGAAGGTTGTTAAAAGCAAAAATACATTTTTTTCCCCCAAAAAACACTTTGGCAGAAGAGCGGTGCCTCCCTAAGGTAGCCAAGTATTTGAAAGATCTGCTTGCTGCTTTCACACGTTGAGTGGGCCCATCGTGCGAATGTTGGCTACTGAATAGGTATAAACATTTTGCAAACATTCCCTCCGCACCAAATGTTCCTTTAGTTAAAATAACTTGAGTAAAGAATCCTTCAAAATGCAGTTCTTAACACTTTTCTGGGAGATTCTGCAGAGTATGAAAACCGTCAGGACGCTTTCCCCCTTAACCATCAGTCCTGCGGACGTTAGGGTGTTACGCACCTTGTATTCTTTGAAGAAGGGCACCGTTGTGGTGATTATCACCTGCTTTGAGTAGACGGGCCCGCAACATGTGGATTCATAAGGCAAACATACAGAGATTAGCTGCTTTGCTTTAAAGCACCTTTAGAGAGAGACTGGCTGCAAGGATCTTTGAACCGGCGCCCTGAGCCGTAGAATTTGATCTAGTCTGCCACCTTGCATCTCATGATCTGTGAAACCCTTTCTTATCATCGTGACGCACTTGCTGTAAGAATCTTACGTGCCTGGAATGCACGTGGAGACATGAAGGACCCAGGAAGTGTTTTGGATTGAACTTGATCACGGGAATGACTGATCCCCAGCACCTGGCCACGCCTGTGAGCGAACACAGGGGGTGGAAGGAGGAGGAAGGACAGGAGAGGTGGTGCACCGATAGTTGTCGTGACCAGGGCAGCGCGGCGGCCTGAGCCCCTGGGCGTGGTCCCACGGGCTCTGCGGGCACGCTGTCCTTTGGTCCTCACTGTGATCTCGTGAAGCGGGATGTTACTGTGTCCATTTTACTTCAGGAAACTTAAGTTTGGGCACTTAATTTTTTTTAGCTAATTATTTTGAGAGAGTGCGCACAAGCAGGGGATGGGCAGAGAGAGAGAGAGAGGGAGAGAGAAAGAATCCCAAGCAGGCTCCAGGCTGTCAATGCAGAGCCCAACGTGGGGCTTGAACCCACGAACCCTGAGATCATGACCTGAACTGAAACGAAGAGTTGGACGTTTAACCAACTGAGTCACCCAGGCACTCATTAAGTGTGGGCATTTTGAAGGCCTTTCTAAAGGTCACACATGCGTAAAGGGCACAGCCTGGACTGGATGGTCAACGGCTCTGCCATCCTGTGGGACTCCGATTTCTACCTTCGCTTTGGTGGTTTCCGTTTTAAGGGCAAAGGTGAAGTTCAAGGGGAATCTCTCTCAAACAGGTGTCAATCCAAGATTACCCCATCCCCCAATCCTGAGAGTGGCGGATGCAATCAAAAAATCCACAAGAGGTTAATAAAAGCTAACAACCCTCACAGTTTCATATTTATGGTCAAGGGACCACCCGCCCAAATGACATTACACTATCCGCTTTTAAAAGCTTCCAGAGAATGGTGCAGGTGACCTAAAACCAACGGTCTGGTGGATTTGTCTCGTGTGGACTATACAGTAGCTGAGAAAGAAAAAAATTCGCCTCTACTGAGAAATCAGGAGCTTTTGCATCGCACTTTGGTTTTCCTGCCTCTCTCTAAAAATCAGGACACTCAGGGGGCGCCTGGGCGGCTCAGTCGGATAAGCGTCCGACTTCGACTCGGGTCATGATCTTGTGGTCCGTGAGTTCGAGCCCCGCGTCGGGCTCACGGCTGACAGCGTGGAGCCTGCTTCAGATTCTGTGTCTCCCTCTCCCTCTGTCCCTCCCCTGCGCTCTCTGTCAAAAAGAAACAAACATCCAACAACAACAAAAAATTTGGGACGCACCGGTGCTGGGAAGCGGGGGAGCCTGCCCAGAAGGGTTGGGGGCACTCTGGCCTCACTTACGGTGACTTTGGCTTTTATGGCTGCCAGCTTCTCCTGGGCGGCGGTGAGGTCCGAGGTGACTCTGCTCAATGCCTGGCGCTTGGGCTCGACGTCGCAGAACACCTCGTAGAACTTCACGATGTTGATCACCCAGGAGCAGAGGCCCGCAGCCGCGTGAGACTTGGTGGCCACGAACTCGGGGTTGAACTCTGGGTCCTGCAGATACGGCCTGATGGCCTTGAGGCAGTTCTCGTGAATGTTCTCTTTGTCGAAGTTGACGAGGGAGTCCAGGAAAGTGTCCACTTTGGCCATGCTGACCTTCGCGGCCTTCCAGCTCCGGTCCTTGGGGACCTTGCCCCCGGGGGCGATGAGGGTCATCACCGCGGCCGTGACGTTGCTGACTGCCAGTGGCGGGGTGCCAAAGGACTTCAGCTCCGTCAGGTTGGTCTGAGGAGAGAGAAGGAGGTCGTGAGGGGCGAGGGAGCAATGGGCTTTCTATGTCCTGGGCCGCTAATGGGAGCGGGGCTCCGGAGCGCTCAATCTGAACAGGCTGCGTTGAAGCATGCCGAGCCCTCTGAATTCGAAATGTCATGACTCATCAAAAAGGAACCAGAGCTGCTCTCCGGTGGCTCCAGCCTTCCCGAACGGCGAGCTGAGGCTCAGCTCTGTGTGTTCGGCTCTTTAACAGACTCGCGGCCCATTAGAGACGCACGATTATTTCACATTCAACGGAAAAAGAGAGGGATGCCAACGCACCCTGAAATGGGCGGCCTGCCATGAATAAAAGATAAGGTTATTATAAATTAATTTCCATCCTGGATGGAAAAGAACGGCACTGTTAACCCAACCAATTTTTTTCCCTTTAATTAAACTCCTTTCTTCCATCAGTTCGTTCTACTGCACTTGACTGTCCTGATAGCAAAGTGACATTTTCTGCCAGGAAATAATTTGGGCCGAAGGCTGGGCACAGGCTGAGCCGTCACTGCCTCTGCCCACACGTGGGTTTGTCCTCGGCCCCAACTGTCACTTGCCCTGGGAAGATGTGGCCCGAAAGGGTTGGCCTTCCCAAGCTGTCACTTCAGCTCTCCAGGCCTCCGTGTTTCCATCTGCAAATTGGGAGCAGACAGACCTGCTAATCTGTAAGTGAAACTGTCATAAACGCAGGTGACGTTGACTTAAGGTCTGCGTGACCATCAGTGGGAAGCCTGTGACCTCACAAGCGCTCATTGTGGGAGCTGATTTTGTAAGTGGGGGAAAAAAATCTTGATTGTGAAGATTAGGTCCCCTGTGCCAAATTAATTTGGGGGTGCTCTTGGGCCTGGGAATCTACAAACGAAGGGGGATTATTTCTAGCACCTTCCTGATGGAAGCCTCTGGGAAGATGCTCCATTTGCTTTTGCAATTATTTTCTTAAAAAAAATTGTTTTTTAACATTTGTTTATTTATTTATTTATTTATTTTTTAAATTTTTTTTTTCAACGTTTTTTATTTATTTTTGGGACAGAGAGAGACAGAGCATGAACGGGGGAGAGGCAGAGAGAGAGGGAGACACAGAATCCGAAACAGGCTCCAGGCTCCGAGCCATCAGCCCAGAGCCCGACGTGGGGCTCGAACTCACGGACCGCGAGATCGTGACCTGGCTGAAGTCGGACGCTTAACCGACTGCGCCACCCAGGCGCCCCAACATTTGTTTATTTTTGAGAGAAAGACAGAGCATGAGCAGGAGAGGGGCAGAGAGAGAAGGAGACACAGAATCGGAAGCAGGCTCCAGGCTCCGAGCTGTCAGCGTGAGCCCGAAGTGGGGCTCGAACCCACAAACTGCGAGATCATGACCTGAGCCGAAGTCAGACACTCAGTCGACTGAGTCACCCACTCAGTCGACTGAGCCACCCAGGCGCCCCAGCTTTTGCAGCTGTTTTCACATTTGGTCTTGAAAACCTGTCAGGGGCAAGGATGAAGGACAGCACCTGTGTGAGTGTGGTGCTGGCACTGCTGTCCTGGTGACCTCTGCTGGGGGGAAAGGGGCCAGAGTCAGAAAATATAATCAGAAGCAGAACCCTGCAAACGTAAAAATTCTGTAAGTTCAGCACGGTCAACGTACTGAATTAAGAAAATACAAAAATGCATGGCAGATGAAGTTGACTTTCTATCACCCAGATATATCGCTGGTAATATTTCAATGTACAATAAAACCTTAGATTGTGAGTAACTTGTTCTGAGTGTTCCGCGAGACGAGCGAACATTTCTAATACAGTTTAACTTGATAAAGGAGCGATGTCTTGCCATAGGAGTAGTATGGGATGCCGAAAGTCACATGATCACAACTGAGCCAATGGTTCTTGAAATTCACTTTGATGTATGAGTGCTTTGGATCCCAAGCATGTTTCTGGAACGAATTATGCTTGCTCACAGACCAAGCTTTTTTACTGTAATTCCTTCCAATCTTTTTTTTTTATTTTTAACATTTATTCATTTTTGAAAGAGAGCGTGAATGGGGGAGGGGCAGAGAGAGAGAGAGGGAGGGAGACACAGAATCGGAAGCAGGTTCTAGGCTCTGAGCTGTCAGCACAGAGCCCGACACAGGGCTTGAACTCACGGACTGTGAGATCATGACCTGAGCCGAAGTCGGACGCTCGACCAACCGGCGCCCCTTTCCAGTCGTTTTTATATTCGTGTGTCTCGACCAATCCATCACAGCCTTTTTGATGGTAGTGACAGAAGACCCCGCCGAAGTATAAAGGGGACTTTCTGGCTCATGTATTTGGTCAGAAGGATGAGTTTGGAGGTGGCTGTGAGGACGAGGAGAACTGGGTTCACGGACTCTCTGGACCTTCTGGTTTCTACTTCTCCCCGTGCACGCCTCTGTTCTGCATAGCAGAAACCAGTTTCTTCGTGTCGCAAGGCGTGCGACCTACCTCGCTGCCCTCCACTTGCCTTGTCACCTCCATCTGTCACTAAGCTCCGCCTCCAGTCACCTCCTTCTAGTGCCCTGATGGCCAAGCTCATCCTTCCCAGGAGCCCTGCCCGGAACACTTCTTCCTAAGCTATTTGCCTGGCTCGTCCCTTCTCATCCAGAAGGATCTCAGTTCAGACACTGCCCACTCACAACGACTCTCCCATCGGCTTCTGCTGCTCATCATTTCTTATGGGCTCCTTGATGAGCTGCAGAGAACTCGGGGCAATCAGACACGATCACCCCTTTTTCCTTATTGGATCTCCGTATTCCTCTCCTTCCAGAGAAGAGGGGCCCCATCTGTCTTGTTAACTAATGAGGGAGCGTGGGGCAAGCTGAGGGTAGTAGTGAGCCAGGCTAATAGCACGCCTTTCTCCTCCAGGGCGGATCTGTGATATTCCTGGACAATTTTTCACTACCCGGAGGAACAAAAAGGAACGGGGCTTATGTTGATGTATGAGACTGCAAAACCATACAAATGAAAAAATTCAATTCTACATTGCTCAATGAGACAAGTCCTTAGAACGCAGACCGCCCTCCCAGGAGCTCTCCACAAAGGCCGATGATGATACTTGGGGGCAAAAGAGAGAACTTAGCTTTAATATTGTCCCAAACCTCGAGATCAAAGTCACCTCTCCCCTCATCTCAGCTGCCCCACATATGCTGGCAATTCCCACGCCTAAGCTATACCCCGAGTGCCCATCGTAGGTCTCAAGGACTGGGGCTTCATTAGATGGTAAGAAACAGGCTTCCTTAGCGCAACAGCCAGCTCCCTCGGGGGCACCTGGAAACCTTCCAAAATTCCTTGAGACTCCATGTGCTTTCCTGCCCCTCCCAACCCATGTAACCAGTCTCTCTCCTCAGCAAACCCCAGTGTTTTTCCCAGCCTCAGGCTGTCCTGTCCCCCTGGCTTTAATACACAAACACTTTTTTTGTGTTCAAAGATAGATTCTTTTCAGATTTTTTTCTGGCCATCGCCTGGACCACCCCTGCCCACCATCACACCAAAACCTCATTAAAGCCTGGTGGCTTTGAAACAGGAAAAGTCCTGAACCCAGTAGGGTGCTCATCACATGTGGGGTCGAATGACCTCTGGGGATGAATGGCTGCCCGTGCAGCCAGCAAGGTCACAGCCAATATCACATCGCAAACTTGAAGGGAAGGGACTTTTTCTCTCCTCAAAGCTGTCCTGGGAATGATCTTGTTTTAGTTAGTAGGCCCTGCAAGGGCAAGGGCTACAGAGGAAGAGGAGGGGTCCACTAAAGAAACACATAGGTGGGAAACAGAAACATTTCAGAAGGTGTTGGGCAGCTTTTGTAGCAGCAAACACTGAAGGCATGGGGTAAAAGGCCTATTTTCCCAATTCCCCCCCCCTCCAGGCCACTACCATCATCAGGGCTGTTCCTCACAGAGAGAATGAAGGGATTCAGTAGTAAAGAGGAGAAGAGATACATAAGGAGCATGGGGATATATATATATACATATATAGTACAATAGACAGGAGCAATAAGAGGTGGGGAAGAGCAGCAGCATAACATATTATAAGGCTATGACATATGGTTTATATGCAAGAGAGCAGACATAGGGAGCATGGAGGTATATATACATTAAGAGACATATATTATATGGTGTGTGTGGCAAGAAAGAGAGACATATATATATACATATATATAGAGATGAGAGCTCAGTAGGGGGAGCCTGGGTATCATGGGCCACACTTAAGCATCCAACTTGATCTCCCGGCCTTAGCCACTGCCTGACAAGGTCCACAGTTCCTGAGCGTCTCAGCCCCTGCTTCATCTGTTTTCCCAGCAGCCCTGGAGCCTGGAGCTCGGCTCAGACTCCCCCACCTGGGGCTTCTCTCCTCTGTCTCTGTCTCTGTCTCTCTCTCTCTCTGCCCCTTCCCTGCTTGCACACACACTCTCTCTCAAAAATAAATAAATAAAACATTTTAAAAAACCTGTAATTTTAGAAATAAAAAGGGAAGCTCTCTTACAAGAAAATGAACAACAACCACCACAGTTGAAACAAGTAATGAACAAAAGAAGAAATCTAAATATTTGAAAAGATGTCCAAGTCTCATCAGAATGAAAACATCTATAGTTTTTAAAAAAATGAAAAATAAAATGTTTGCTCTCTTACGAAGAAAAGTGAAAGTGATTGGAAATGTCTAAGATTGGCAAGGATGTAGGAAAAGCAGTATTCACAAATATAGACAAGAACAACCATTTTAGACAGTTACTGGTCATTATTTATACACAAAAAAAGAGCATATTCTTGGTATCAGCTTCCTATCGCTTCTGCAACAAATTAACGCAAAGTTAGAGACTTTACACAATGCAACACCCAATGGAGGTCTTAGCTCACAGCTGTGGGGGTGAGAAATCCTCAGGTCAAGGTGTTGGCAGGGGGTGGTAGGGCCAGTTCCCTCTGGAGGCTGCAGGGGAGACTCTGTCGTGTGCCTCTTCTGGCTTCTAGAAGGTTGGCCTCATCC